CGTATAAAATATAACGTTATCTCCCGTGTCATGTGACGTTACGTGACCGCCGTGGAATCCGCGGTCACGTGATGCAAGTCTGTTCCATTTAACCGTTTTCTTTGACTAAGGAAGGACCGTGTCCTCGTAAGCAAGGCGCCTCGGCTCGCAAGACATCGCCTCGCGAGGCCAGGCGCCTTGACATTGAGAAACACAGACACTCTACCCGCAGGCTCCTGAGCCACTACAAAATGGCTAAATGCAGACGCAACGCCGTGCACACACACACAGCTTGCCCCTGATTGCCATGAGACGGGTAGAGGGGGTGTGTGTGTGTGTGTGTGTGTGCGCGCGCGCGTTGCAGCACACCTCCCATCGCTCAGACATTTTATGGCAGTTCACTACAACATAGATTTTTATATGTTCATATTTATTTAATATTAAAAATGCACTGAATAATCTTGGTGTCGGTATTTTTTATCGATGTGGGCCTGTGTTGGGTAAGCTTAGATTAGTTAAGCCTCAGCCTAAGCCTGTTGCGTCCGAAACTATGAGCAAGTATTTTGGCTCTTTTATGCTAAGAATCAGGAGCTGATTTTGTGATTTCCTTTCCTCTGATTGCACCCTGTGCAATTTTATGAGTGAATACATCGATAAATAAAATCAACATTAATTTTAAAAATCCTCTTAAATAATCTAAATTTTTATCTCAATCTAAATAATCAGGATTATAATTTTTGCCGTAATCTAAAAGCCCTAAGGTCATCCTGGTTTTTGGCTCAAAAATCCGTTTATGCATGTGGCAGATGCTTTCATCTAAAGTGACTCACAGATGAAAAGTAACCACTAAATCTACGGTGGCTCAGAAGGTCCAATGAAATGCAAAATGCCGTGTTATAATAACATGGAAGCAAAACCAGCAACACTAAAATACTGAGGCATGAAGCAGAGGGTTAACAGCTAGTTATGCTAATACCCGCTAGGTCAACCTGGTCAGTGGGCTCACGGCAGCACAGCAAAGCCCTGCGGTCTCCAGCTGTTCTGGAGTTAAAGTATAAGCATTACTTCCATTTGAGCAGCGGTTCCAGTTGGCCACGGCTTTATTCTGTTTTATTTTGTCTGAGGCTTTTGAGTTTTGTTGGACCATCAAGGCCACAGAATAAATCAGCTGATTTACCTTTTCAGGTAACGGCCACAGCTGAATAATAAGCACAGAACTGCTCTAAGTCGGTTCAGATGTGACGTTGGAGTCATTAAAACATCTAGAGGCACTTCAGTTCAAGATGTTTACCGCAGGCAGCTGATGGTAGAAAACAGAAGAATGGCCAACGGGCAAGACCGAGTCCTTCGCTCAGACCTGCCCATGAGCTTGAGTTTACCTGAAAATGTCAAATCTTAAAGGGGCCATCGAACGGGGTGAAATTACGATTGGAAACTGGTCTTTCAGCTTCTATAAAGCATATAAAATGTCCCAGGAGCCCCAAGATGATGAATTAAAACACACATAATAAGGCTCGTTATTCCAGGGTATCCGCGGGTCCTTAAAAAGTCTTAAATTTGCTTTTCCGAATTTAAGGCATTAACAATCCTTAAAAAGGACACATAATCCTTAAATCCAGTTTCCAAAGGTCTTAAATCACCAAAGACCCAATAAACAAGATTCTTTAATTTCTATAAAATTTTCCTGAATTTCTAGTTGGTGTTCAGCATTTTTTGTGTACGATGTTGGCGAAAGCGGAACCGTACACATTCAGTTGGTTGTGAAAGGGGGCTATTTTTAGATGAGCACATTAGCTGGTTAAGCTAGCGGGAGCTTGCACCATGGGGAAGTGCAAGTTTAATGGTAACGGTATGGCTAATCCCACGTTCGCGACGTGGTTAGCACCGGTTCCAGGCAATAGCTGGAAATTATAGCTTAAATTTAATTTAAAAAATAGCTTAAATTTGGTCAAAGTGGCCTTAAAAAAGTGGCTCCGTCTCTCTAACACTGTAGAGGTCTTTAAAAATCATCTAAAAACTCACCTTTTCATCCAGGCGTTCCCTCCCTAAATGTTTCAGAAAGATGGCTTTGTTCGGGTTCACACCTTCATGATTTTATTTTCTATTTTATCACTGCTATTGTTTTTCTGATGTTTTTATTGGTTAGAGGTATTTGCCCTGATCTTTATCATGTTGTACAGCACTTTGTGATTTATATCTGTGAAAGGCGCTCTATAAATAAACTTTTACTTACTTACTTACTTTAAAAAGGTCTTAAAAAGTCTTAAATTTGGCTCCTTTAAACCTGCAGATACCCTGCATAAGATAACCTGCCTTCCCCATCCACTCAACCTGTGTGTGTGTGTGTGTGTGTGTGTGTGTGTGTGTGTGTGTGTGTGTGTGTGTGTGTGTGTGTGTGTGTGTTTTAGATTCTACTGCCTCTTCCAGACCTGACCACAATGGCTGCAACTCCACCTCCAGGTTTAGAAACTTCAGCATTCGCCTGATAACATTCCCAGATCTGGGCCAGTGAGGCAAACGGACCCCAGAAACTATAGAACACGTTTCTGTTTGATTCAGAAACTAAATCCAAACCAGACCTGCTGATGTGACTCACTTTGATCAGGACTGGGACCCTCCGGGACGTCTCGTCCTCTTCCCAGAGCTTTGGCTGGAATGTTCAGACCCAGATTAAATCCGAACAGAGATAAAGTTTAAAGAGCTAATGAAGAATCGCGGTAGCAGTTGGACGGTGCTGAGGTGTTGGTTCCTCCTCCTGCCATCCAGATAAGCTTGTGCTGAAGATAAGGTTCTGTCAAGGTGAACATTTTCTACCTGAACATCAGGTCCTGTTAGGATGTGTTGCCGTGACAGAGAACAGGGTTATCAACGCATGACCAGGCTGGTCTGTGGAGCTGAACGTGGGCCAGTCTTCAGTCTGTGCTGCGGTGCGTCTTTTAATACTAATAATAATAATAATACTTTTTATTTCAAGCACCTTTCAAAGCTCTCAAGGTCCACTGTACAGGACAAAATATAACAAGGAAGCAATACAAACAACAAGAAATAAATGCTAAAGGTAATTCCCAAAGGTAGAGTCGGAGCAGTGCGATGGATAATAGACTAAAAAGAGTAGATGGAAGGAGGACAGTTTTAGCGGTTACCGGAAGTACGTGCAGATTTCACCGGTTCCTTTGGGCTTTCGCTAGTCAGTTACTGAATTCGTGTTAAAATGTTGTTACTTCCTTTAACCCTCTGGAGGCAGGCGTTGAAGATTTACAACGATAAAACCTACCTACCTGGTTACTCCACGTACGTATTTCATGAGCATTTTTTTACTCAGAAGTACCCCTGAAGGACTTAGTTGTTCGTCCTTTTATCAAAACTTATTTTGAACATCAGAGGGTTAAATGCCCACATGGCCTTGCCCCACAATACCTGTCAGCATGGACGTAATTTTCACTTTAGAAGTGGGAGGGGGGGGGGGGGGGGATCTTTACAGTATGCTCTAATGGGAAACAGGCTTCAACACAAACTGTTGTTTTCTGCTTGGTCCTAGAGCTCAACCAGTGTCAATTTAATATAGTGTAATATTGTTTTTGGATGGTAAAATGTGCAGGGGTCAAAACTTGACTTTGGAAAAAGTGTGTGTGTGGTGGTGGTGGTGGTGGTGGGGGGGGGCATGTCCCCCCCAAAAAATTTTTACGTCCATGTCTGTCAGAGTTGTTGACTCCCCCTGTGCCTGCGGTCTCTGCGTCAGCTGATCGTGGCCGACTCGTGGTTCCCCTGACAGAACGTGAGAGCAGAGGAGACAGCCTCGTCTGTGATTGGTCCAGGTTGTGGAAGAGCTGCCTCTGAACGTAAAACAGGCAGAGTCCGTCGCTGTGGACACCTTTTCACTTGGGTTTCCGTTGAGTTGTTTTTTACTACGACTCCTACGAGGTTGTGTCATGTTTTATTTACCTTTGGTTCACGTGGCTGTTTTTATTAGTGCTCTGGACATAAACTGGATTTGGACAGAGAAGGTTATTTAATAGGCGTGTGTCAGCTGACGAGGTCACGTGTGTGAGGTAACCAGAACATCCGGGCATCCCGCAGGTGGAGCAGCACCAACATTTGAAAGGAGTTTGGTGGGAGAAGCTTCCCTCCCTCTGCCAGCGCGTGCCTGTCAGTGCGCAGCAGCCACACACACACACACACACACACACACACACACACACACACACACACACACACACACACACACACACACACACACACACACACACACACACACACACACACACACACACACACACACACACACACACACACACACACGGGCGCCTGCACAACTCTTCCTCAGAAGCACCGTCATCCTCCTCTTGGGCGGGATGGAGGGATGCTGAGCAGCGGAACTTCATCATCACCGTCATCATCATCATCATCATCTTCTTCATCATCACCGGGAGCGGGGGGAGGGAGGAGCAGCCGCACTCCGGGGTTTAAAAAGTTCAGCAGCATTCGGTTCATTAACGGAGCACCGGAGGGTCTCGCGCCCGGCGCTCACACCGCACATCACCCAGCCAGACACTGTGGATACACGGAACCGGACCAGGTGGTTCTGGAAGGCTTCGGATCGGATCTCCGCTGTGTGGTACCGGATCTCAGTTGAACGGTTCCAGCCCGAATCCCGGGTGTTGGAACGGATCTCTAACGGTGCTGTGATGAATTCGCGGTGTTGAACTGGATCGGTAACGGATTCCTGACGCCGTGCAGCAGATCTGCTGTTTTCCAGAACGGATTTCTGACAGGTTCGGGTTTTCATGGATCCTGGGACGGAACCGGGTTGGTGACCGCCGGTAACCTCCGCCGGTCCCCGGGACTACGCAGGTGCAGCAGCAGGTGCCACGACCGAGTTTTACCGGACAAACCACCGGAGGAAACAAGTCCAACACCGACCCGGGTTCAGCGCGTCCGCACGGCGGTAGAAGTTACCGGAGAACCGGCGGAGTTTTAATTACCGAGCGGACAGCCCCCCCCCCCCCCCCCCCCCCCCCCCCCCCCCATCACCTCCCCGCTGATCCCACTAACGGACAGGTTTCATTTTCCCGTTTATAAAAACGGATTTCCGCCTCCGTTAGCACCGCCGCCCCTCAGATTGGCACCCGTTAAATGGAAACGTTTCCCGGTTATCCATCAGTTTTAATCCGGTGTTAATCCGTCAGCCACATGAGGCGGAGCGGTGAAACAAACCCACATGTTGGCTGTAAAAGACCCACCGGTAGTCGCTCGGTACCGGGATTAAACACCTCACATCAATCCCGTCATCCAGAATAAAGCCGGTAAACGTTACAGCTCTAACAGATTACAGCTAAAATATAATCTGGACTCATCTGAAATAAAAACCCACAGAAAGAAGAAGACTGATGATTCTGAGTCAAAGTTCTGACCCAACTGGACCGGCTAATCTGGGGTTGTGGTTGGGTCTGTTTCACACCTGGCATGCACTTGTCTCCCGAAGCTGACCCTGGTGACCCAGATGTTGCAGCTGTGTAGTGACACTGAACCCCGGAGAGTCCCGGTGGGCTTTGCTGATGCTTTACGACGGTTCTGGAGGAGCTTTAACTCAGAACAAATTAACTTTACGATGACCCGAGGACCGTAAGCAGCCGTGTTTGTTCAGGCCGGCTTTACGACCCGGAGAGTTGAGCGTTCCTGTCACCGCTCTATTGTTTCAGTGCAAAATCAGTGAGGAAATCCAGCTCAGTTCAGCTGTTTTCTGTGCATTTCCCACCTCTCTCTGCAGAGGTTTAGAGTTTAGCTTACCCAGTGGATTTGCTGTGGAAGTCCATGGATGCCACGCTCACTGTATAGCCACATCCTCAACAAAATACCTCCTCCTCCTCCCGCTCAGCGTCCTGCTTTTGAAATCGAGCCACGCAGCATCGATTTCTCTCCTCGCTGCAAAACCAAAACGCAAACGACCATCTCATCCTCTCTGGTCTGTCAGTTCTGCTGCTGAAATGTAAGGAGTGTTGATTTCCCACCTCCAGTCAGAGCTGAAGGACGTTCAGAACGGTGCCGCAGCGAGGTCGGAGTTCCCAAACGGGCTGATTCACTCAGAATCACCCGAAGACTGGCTGGGACCAGTTCCCTGCATACATGAATGTTTTTCCCAACTGCTTTCTGACTCTGAACTTTGAGATCTTTCTGCTGCTCTCATACTGACGTTTTACGCCAAATGGGACTAAACGACAGCAGCCCCGGCACCATGCGGAACGGCCGTGGCCTATCGGACCAGTGGGCTGAGTCGGTGGTGGTCCGGCCTCGAACCACTGAGCGACACATCACGGTGCACAAACGCCTGGTGCTTGGATTTGCCTTATCCATCATCACGCTCATAATCGTTACGGTAGTCGCTGTGGTTCTCAGCCTCCGCTTTGAGGACTGTGGTGGGCGAGATCGCAAAGGATCTACAGGCGAGGTGGGTTCCAGAGGCTCCGGAGGGTCGGGAAAACTGAACGGGAACAGAGGGGAGAGGACAGGGGAGAGAGGGGACGAGGAGACCGTCCAGCCGTGGAAGAACTCCAGGCTTCCAGGATCGATAAGACCGCGGCATTACGACCTGAGACTTGCTGTCTACATGGACAACTTCACGTTCTCAGGTGAAGTTAGCATCGAACTGGAGTGCATCAACGCCACCCGATTCATCGTGCTGCACACAGATCGACTTGAGGTACGTTCATCGATGTACACAAATGTTTGGGGGAATTTTATCTTCATAGATTGTTTCGAGTTACACAAAAGTTTCTAGCTTCTTCAGATCATTCTCCACATCTCCATAGCTTCAAAACTTTGGACCACATACTTAAAGTCCTCTTGGAAATCTTCTTTATGGACACCAAAGTAAGCCAGGGCTGGTCAGTGAGTCCTAACTCCACTCCCCTGCATTTCGTACTCGGACGTAGTTTCAGACCGGCTAAACCTAGCGTACTCAAACCGATCCGCCCTCACTACGGCGCCGGTATCGGCTCAGTCGTGGTTCGTTCTCTCGTTTCAGACTCAGGTGGAGGTGTGCGGACGTAAATGGTGACGTACAAATACTTGAGGCAACCACTGAACTATTTTAGAAACTTCACACTGATTTTATTTTATACATTTCCTGATGTAGAGTTTTAAAAGAAGCTCCGAGGCTCCAAACGCAGCGAGCGAGGCTGAAAAACCACTGGTCCAAGGTGGGAACCAAACCATCAACAGTTTGTGTGAATCGACCCGTGGAGGATTCATTTCCTTCCAGCGTGACCCAAACCGCACCGGTACCATTTGGTAGAGGGACAAAGCGACCGTGATCCAACTGCTCAAACCTGACGTCAGACTGTAGAAGACCTCTGTAGCAGCCAACGAGCCTCCACCTCCAACCACCTCCACTGTAGATTATACCTGATTCGTATTTCACCAGAGATGCAACTGTAGTTTGAAACTTACTGGCATACAACAAGCCTCAGAACCTTCAAGCCAACTCATGAAGACCTTCAGATCTTCCCCTGACCAGGTCTTGGTCAAAGAAGAGCTGAAACAATCAGAAAATGTAGTTTTGGGTCTACCGTCTGCTAGTAACAACCAGGAAGTAAAACCAGCTCCGACTGCTGGAGACAAACTACAAACAGCTTTTCCAAGCAACTTTCCACACGATCCCAAATTTCACGAAGATTCCTATTTCACTCTGGCCTAAGGAGCTCACAGTTGTGGGCTTCAGGATGTGTCAGAAAAACACCTGGAACGTCCTGTTGGGTTTCTGAGAGTCATAAAGTCGAAAAATAGGAAACATATTCGAGAGGAGCAGAAATTCAGGGAAATTGCAGATAAACTGAGATCTCGCCCAGGAAGACAAAACTAGTCCCAAAACAGCAGATTCGGTTTGTTGATTTAGTCCCAGTTTGGTCTGTAACTAGTTGAGCCCAGTAAGGCTCTGGTTTAAATCCCGTTTTTATTCTGACCCCGGGTTTCCACGGGAGCCGTCAGCAGCACGTCTTGCTCGCGTAAGCTGCTGCTTGGCCCTTCCCACGAGACGCGAAGCAGCAGGGGGGCAGCTGTCACCGACCGAGCACGAAGTCACACGAGTGACTTCGTCAGTAAACACAACAACAAGCAGGAGAAAACTACAACATGGTTTGTGTTTTATGTTCTGTCCATTTTATAATCGCCAATACGGACCTGAAAAACAAAGGAGACCGCTAGCTAGGTGATAACTTCTCACGGGGACGCACAGTTAGTAACCTTTTTTTAAAAGTAAAGCAACCGGAAGGCAGTACGTTCTTTATTCTGAAAATCTCTGTAGCTTCTCTCAATTTCCGCGTCCGATTTCCTGTCTTTCCTTCCCCAAAAATGTCGAACTTGACCCGTTTCAGAGGCGTCGCGCGTAGAAAATAGAACCGGCGCGTAAAGGCCGCGACATGCTGCTCCTGAGACGCGGCCGACTCGCGCTGCTGACGGCTCCAGTGGAAAAGGTTCTGTTGACCACAGCGGTTCCTATCAGCAGCTATGACGTGCTGCTGCAGTAACGTGCTGCTGACGGCTCCGGTGGAAAGCCGGGTGAAGACGTTCTTTTTAGTTGAGGACATTAAAGTAGAAAACACTTTAAACTCTGTAAACATTTATTAGATTGATTCCTGTTTGTTCTGCTGAGAAAAGCCTAACCCGATAAAACCAAACCATACTTTTGAATTAAACGGTTTCAGATGAATCAGAGGTGCGTGGAGTAGATTCTCTTCTTAATATTTTAATTTATTTACACAAAAATAGCCAAAAATAAAAGATCAGAGTTTCTGACTTATCTCTGGGACATATATAATAATAATAAAAAAACTCTTAAGGTTGTTAAAAGGAGTCCAGGTTACAAAACTTTGTGGTTCTTAAAAGATAAATGTTAGTACCAGTTATATTAAAGTGGTGTAAAAAACCTTCTTAATGTCTTCATTTTTATAAAATTTGTAAAAATAGTTTAACTCGTCGGTCGCCATCATTGTCAGAATCGCACTGCACTCTGGGTAGTGACGTCAAATGGTTGTACCTCGGTTGCACCGGCCGGCTTTGGGATCCTGTAGCGACTGTTCAGCGACATCAGCATGTCGTCTGTTCAGCCTTTTCACTTTGAACCAGAGCGAAACATTAATGATGACATCACTGTCCGTGTTTCAATAAACGAGCGTCAACATGAAGAGCAGGAAGGGCGGGATGAAGCGAGAGCAGCACAAAACCGCTGGTGCGTATGCGGCAAACGGGTCTCCATGGTAACCGAGAGGGAGCGTGCTCACATTTGTGTCAGCAGAAGTTAACGGTAAGCTATCGTGTGATCAGACTTATTAAATTATGAATGATTTAGGAGAATTTTAGCATCCAGAGCTGTCGTGTGCTTTATAGATGATTAGCATGTTCAGTGAAACCACTTTGCAGATATTGTTTATGTGGACAACACTGTGTTGCTACACTTACTGCTTGTTTTACTGACGGGAGCGGTGAACGTTCAGCTTCATCCGTGACGAGTGGCGTGTCCGATGGTTGGCTGAACGTGACGGAAGCGGCGGCTGCAGGAGCGGGTTGTCGGCTCAGGAGGGCGTCCAGCGTCTCTCGTCTCTCCGAGGGCGTTTAGGGAAAATGGTCGGTAAAGCATTTAGTTTCCGCCTTCTCCTATACCCAGCCGCTCTGGTGAGCTCTTTAAGTCGTTGTGGTCGACTATAAGCCTCAAACGCGTCAGGAGAAAAATGTTGGGAACACAGCCGCGGATCTTTGGGAAGTTGTGTCCGTCCACAGGCATCTTCCCACTGCTTTCTCCTCTTGTTGCCAGTGGGAAAGCTGTAAACTCGCATCACTCCCCTTGTTGCCCTCTGGCTGGAGATTACATCCAAAAGCAGCTCAATGCGGCATTTTACTTCATTATTAATACGGTGAGCACGTAACCAAACACTAGCATCAATAGCTGTTCTTCCAAGAGCAACCAATATACGTCATCGCCCCCAGAGTGCATTGGTGCGGTAAACATGGCGTCCTACGTATGTCAAAAATATACTAAATATGACAGATTTATGAATAAACAGCAATATTTTGTGTTTCTAACAACATACAACAGGAAACTTGTGGCTCATAAGTGCACACGCGTCCTCATAGCCGGAGTTCCCTTTAAAGAAGCACGTTTCACAACAGCTGGATTACGCTCGTCCTCATCTGTTCAGACATGTTGAGTTTAAGTTCCTGACACCACTTCCTGTTTCCCGCAGAGTCCTTCTGAAACAAAAGTCCCATTTTTCCGTGTAGACTGGCGCTCCGTTTTGGAGAAATCCCAAACACAGAATGTTTATTTCCAGATTTGGCCTCAGAGATTCCTCTAACGAGGCCAATTAACCGCCAGAGTTGCTGTTTCAGCCGAATCGTGAGACGAGCGCGTGCTGAGAGAGCCTCGGAGAAACGCCCGAGCCACACGATTCTTCACGCCGGTCATCGAAGCTAATGTGAGAGATGGATACATCTGTCTAATTTAGGCAGAGGCCAATTAAAAGCCCTGCAGCCTCCCCCGTGTTTGCATCCGAGCGCTCTGTGAATTAATAGGTGTTGTCGGGCGGCAGGCAGGTCTCCTAAGGTATCGTCAGAGTTAATGCATTATGAAAAGAAATATTGTCAGGATGTGAAAGCCCGCAAAGAAAAAAGCTGCAGAAGGAGGTGTAGCAGCAGGAGCGGCTGGTGGGGAGATGAAAAGGTGGAAAATAGTCCTTTATTCTGACGTTGAAGCTTTTGTACAACTTCAGAATGATTCAGAGGAAACATCTGAACGCTGAAAGTTTGACCATTAAAAAGAAGCCTGCAGGCAGCCAACGGGTTAAGTTCGTGTCAATGATAATGAACGAGCAGAGGTGCCTTCCACCTCTAATTTATGCTTCCTTCAGTCCTCGTCCTCCTGTCCTCGGGCTGTGAGCTTGGATGTTCCAATCCCTGAAATCACGGAGGAGAAAAGGATACAAGGAGCTGGGAGCGAGGAAGCCACGCCGACGTTTTTAACACCAATTCCATCTTAATGTCTTTATTGATCAGTCAGCTGATCTGATGGGATGGAGGACGTGCAGCCAGACTGCTGACAAACCGCCTCCCCACACCCAACCGGTGGGATTATCTAATCCAGTGTTTTTATTGGTTCCTGTCACTAAATCTGTGCAGTTTATTGAGAAAAGATCAGACAAGGGCTGCACGATATAAGGAAAACCTACGATATTCGATAACAATGATTAATATGGCGCTAACGATATTACTTGCACTAAATAAAAACTTAACTCAGGAACAAAAATAATCAAAAAAAAGAAAAAAAGAAATTAAAAAAAATCATAAAAATGAGAAAAGCAAAAGGAAAGGAACAAGAAAAGGCAATCAGTGGATCCCGGGAAAAGCAGAATGAGCAAAAAGAGCAGAACAAAGCTAAATCAGGTGTTTGCTAACCATCAAAATTAAGTGCCGTTCGCCTCGGGGGCGGACATCTGACCTATGAGGCCCCACCCAATTGGCCAAATGGGTGAAGAGCTCTATTTGATTTGTTAAAAAAAACATGACACTTCCATTTGACATTATATGTAGCAAACATTTGAGCTGACCATTCATTGCTATATTTATCTGTTCTTTTTGATATGCATATCGTTCATGCTGATATCACGATAACGATATATTTACGATATATTGTGTAGCCCTAGATCAGAC